CAATCTAAGAAATTTATTATTTATCAAATTATTTTTTATTTTTCCATAATTTCAATTACTATATTTAATATCAAAATTTCTAAAACATAATTTCCAAAAAATATTATAATTAAAATTAATTCCCCTAATTTAGAATTTCTAAAAATATAAAAAATAAATCAAACACATATTTAGAAAAAAAAATATATAATAATCATTTTTTCTTATCCGAAAATTAAGAATATATATATATAATATTATAATTAGGCAAGTCGGGACACTGGAACTGCAGCCGCTGCTTATTATGCTCAGCACAAAGAACTCCACTTGGACGCCGCTCAAGCGTGCGCGGCGCAGGGGGTCAAGTTCCTGTCCATGGTGGCTGAATGTACTGGCGCATGGGCGCCAGAGGCCCTGAAGGTGCTGAAGCATGTTGCCCACGCGGCGGCTCCGCACTCGGGTGAGGAGCCCGCAGTCTGCTATGGCCTCCTCTTGCAGGAGCTGGCCGTTGCGATCCGCACTTTCCGGGCGCGGGCCTCTCTTCGCCGTCGGTTCCAAGCTCTTTGACCGACTCGGCCGTGTCCTGCATCGAGCGGTAGCTTCGTGACATTCTTTGAGCTGCAGTAAGATGCGGGGGCCAGTTAGGTTTTCTGTTTTCCTTTCTATAATTCAGGGGCTGCCTCTCCACCACCATTTTCCGTCCGTTAGCTTTCTGCTGCGCGTATAGCAGGACGACGCTACCATGGCGCTCGTTTCTTCTTCTTTATTTGTTTGGTGGTACTGATTCATGCAGCTCACCTTTAGATACCTTTTGCTGCCGTGTGCTCCCCTCAATTTTCCTTTGGGGTCACTGCACAGGCTTATGTAGAGTTGCATCGGTGAACGATGCTTTCATTTGTATTGTGATGATTTGTGAAGTCGTTCTTATGTTGTCCATAGATCAGGCTTGAACTGGCATGTGCACTGCATGGCATATAATTAAATAATAGTAAGAATAATAATAATAATATTTTAAATTAATTATTTGAAATTAAATGAAATTAATATATTCATATCTATATAATTCTATATATATATATATTATACAAATCTTTTCACAGATAATTCTTTCCGATTTTTTATTTCTTTCCGAAGTTCTTTGACTTCCTGCAGAGCCCAGGAACAAGTGATCCATGAAATTCAATTGGGTATGCTGCAGATTTTCCACACTCCGTCCTCCTTGTTCTCTTTTTCGATTCTTTCCATTTGCTTCCACAAGTCCTGGCAGGGGTGGAAGATGGTATCTGCAATCATCGATCTCTGCCAAGAAAATATGGCGAACTATGGTGAGTCAACCATTGCATATTTGGGATTTATGGTGATTTTATAGATTTATAGATAGGAAATGATTGGAATTATGGGGACATCCATTTTCAGATTCTGTAACTCAATTCCAGGGGTTTCTTCGAAGCTTACCCTCAGCCCCCAAAAAATCTTCATGATACGAATGGGCGCTGGAGCCCCTGGCCACCTTGTTCCTCCTTGCTTCCAATGGTTGTAGTGCCAGCCTGAGCCAACGAGTGGATGACCATCCCGTAGGGGCTTGGTATCCAACCGTATTGACGCAGATATGATGGCGATGATACGAAAGAACCCAGGTTGAAATACATGAAGGATAACTGGTTGGTGGTATACCTACCCCTCTGAAAAATATGAGTTCGTCAGTTGGGATTATGAACATTCCCAATATATGGAAAGTCATAAAAACTGATCCAAACCACCAACCAGATAAAATATGAAATAAACTCAGACCAAGAAGGGAACTAGATACGCCAAGGATCTTGCAACACTATGTGATGTCAACATTTTACTAAAATGACACAGTGCCAGAAATATCGGACACACATACGATATATATATATATATATTTGTAGGAAACATCTGCTTTGCATGAAAACACGACAACCTTCCAAGAAAAGAGGACATGGGGTCGAAAAATATCCTGGCAATAGTTTACCGAGTGCCTCATCATGGCTAGTTGTTAACGGATTTAGAGTGTGGAGTCTGTGAAACATCCACAGACATATCAGAATCATACATCTCCATAGTTTGATGGACATACACATACCCTTTGGCAGTCAAACAAAGAGTATAAACCGTTTGCAAATTATAGATCATTCATATACATCTTGAAGATTTTTCCAAATTTTGGAATTTTCCCTCGCTATGTTGGATTACCAAAGGCTCCTCAGTTAAAAAATGCAATCCTCTGAGCTCCATCACCAATGATACACAGACCGGGGGATGAGATAGCCTGATGGAATCAGTGCCTCAGGCTGCAGAATGGCCAGGTCATTGAAAAAAGGTCGCAGAAGTTGATCATGTGAGGGTTTCCTAAAATGGTGGATCCCCAAAACAATTCAAAACCATAAGGTCTTAATACTCAAATGGTTCAATGACTTGGCTACCCCCATAATTTAGGACACCTCTGTTTTGACCTGTACCCTATTTTTTTTTCCATTCATGGTGATTTCAAGTGAATATTATGCTTCACTTTTGCCATTGTAAAAATGGCACGCAAATTCGTTACTTGACCAACTTTACCAACCGTTTCCCGATTTCGAGGTTATCCGAATACCGGAATGCTTCCAATGATTCAACCTTTCAACGTGTGTGATTTCAACACCAGCAATCGCAATCCTACCAAGAGAGGTTTGGTAAGAATAAACGTGGTGACATTGATGTGGGTATCTATCAAAACTATCCACTCCCCAAAATGGATGAATTAGCCTCTGGTAATTTGCGCCAAAACTATGGAACATCACCACTTTTGATAGGCACATATATATATATATGTATATATATATATATGTGCATATATATATATATATGTGTATGTGTATGTATATGTATATGTATATGTATATGTAAATGTATATACATATACACATTCGAACTAACTGGGGCATTTTCATCCATTTTCCATAGCTATGTTAAGTTACTAGAGGGTAATCCAATGACTCGATCCATAGCCATAGGTTGACAGGAGAAACTTCAGGAAACATGGCTCTTCAACAAAGCAGCTAGGTCTAAGTGCAGGATCCGCTCTCTTTTTTGTACAGATATGGGAGTTTTCCATAAATGGAGGTACCCCAATAGCTGGATGGTTTATAATGGAAAATGCCATGAAAATGTATGATAACATATGATAACTAGGGGTACCCCTATTTCAGGAAACTTCCACATGATTTTTTTAAAACATTTTTTCACCATGGCATACACGGATTTTCCAGTAAAACTCGTTTTAGTTTTGGCAGACCCATAGTTACAAAACGGCCAATTTATATGGATTTGTCTGACAATTGTGTACCCCAAAAATTCCATGGTCCATGGTCTATCTTAATTTTTCCTCTTAATTCAACAGTTTTGGGATATTCACCATTTGGACACCACATCAGCCCACCTTTAGACATGTTTGAGTGGACCCTGGGCCCTGGGATCCCTCACTACCACAGGCGACGATGGCTGTGTGAGAAGCTGTTGAAGGGCCTGCAGAACTCACCGAGAATCACTTTCTTGTCTTTGGCAATGCGTTGGAATATTTTTCTGGGCAAACTTCATGGGATGTATAGCCAAATTTTTAGACAACATGGCTTGGGCCAGAAATCTGGAATGACATCAATTTCTGACCATTAGATCATGGGAACCAAAATAGGTTTTGAATGGCCAGAAGTGGGTACAACAGGGGCCAAAAAACACTTAAGGTCTATTGCAAGAGGAAATGACCCATAAAAAATATGAAAAAACATAGACACAACAAAAACGGGGTTCAATTTCTTTGAAACAAGAAACGTGCTGGAATATGTTGGACTACAACCATTGAAATATTCGGGTTGATGACCTCTGAAATATCGGTGAAACCTTGGGTTTCTCAGCACTGACGACAAAGGTGAGGTGCAAACCGAAGGATGGACCCCAGTCATTGGTCGTGATTTTTATTCATGGGTCATTAAATGTCCCCATTGAACATCACCCAACCATTAGGTATATGGTCTATAATGGCTATTATAAGGTGATGTCCAATATACCCAAAATGGGACAGTTACCAACCCCTGTTATTTCTTCGCCTTTTTCGCCACATCTCCCGACTCTTGTTGATTTCGTCCTGATACGATTTCCTCGGCTACTCTGATGCCACAACTGCTGGATGAATCCCGAGTTTGGCAACGTTACACACATATTCTTCGTTGGCGAAGTTGACCCATCATCCCTGGGAGGGTTATAGCCCCTTGTTGGGCAAACCATACATCACCATATTGCTGCTTGTATATTTCATGAAACATTCCATTCCAATTACGGTTGGTTTGATATCTCCCATTTTCGTTGGTTCAATCCTTCCTTTTTTCGTTCAATCCTTTTCATACCATCATTTTCGTATCCACAATTATGGTTTAATCACAGTACAGTTGATCTTAAATTAGAACCATAGGGCAATAAGATGTACAGTATTGGTACCTATAATTTTCCCCATCATGCACGATCTTCCCAACTAGAAACCTCCATATTTTTATCAGGGATTTCCCTCATTATCGTTGTTTAAAGCCCAATTTCTGCAGCATTCTCATATTCATATCCATTAATCATATATTGACCTTTACTGGTTGGTGGTATACCTACCCCTCTGAAAAATATGAAAGTCAGGAGTCGGATTATGAACTTCCCAATATATGGAAAAATAAAAAATGATCCAAACCACCAACCAGCTTTATATAGTATATTACCATTCATAAAGTAATCATCATTTAATTGGAGTAATACACTATTCGTGTATTTATATCAACAACCATTATATTAATGGTTTAGTATATTACCATCAATAGTATATTAGCCTTTAGTATATTACTATTAGAAACCATTATTAATAGTATATCAACCATAAATTCATTACTAGTATATATATATATGATCTATTACAGTATATCAATTATATATATTATCTATAATCTATATTATATATATTATCTATATTATATATATTATATTATATATTATATATATTATATTATTATTATATATATATATACATAATATTATATATACATATGAACCGTTACCATATTGCTATTCTCTTAAGCCATTCAATCACTATCTTCAACAGGAATCCGAATCAGAACATCCAACGCCTCTCGCACCACTGCCAGGCTTACAGTGGCTGCACCGCCTCGTAGCGGTGCAAAACCACCATTGTTTATATAGGTAGCCTCTGGTAAACTAACCATATATCACCATTGTTTATATAGGTAACCACTATACCCACTATAATCACTAGACTAACCATTGGAATATTCATTGGAATATTCATGGGGATATTCATGGGGAATATTCATGGGGAATAATCATGGGGATATTAACCTCTGGTAAACTAACCATTGGAATATTCATGGGGATATAGTGGCTATATCATGGGACAATTTGGGACAATAATGACATTTAACCTCTGGTAATTTGTTACAGTTCGCTATTGAACATGGCCATAGAAATAGTGGATAGATAAACACGGATCCCATTCCCCCATTCCCTACGTTTAGCGTCAGTAAACATGTATCGTTGTATCCCTCATAAACCCTAGTCAACCAAGTTATAAGTGATTATACCGGGGTAAAACCATGGTTATAAACCTCAATGTTTGATGGGATATGGCCCCCCTAGAACTATGGCGAGTTTATCCACTTAGTTCACTGGAACTGCACTTCTAGGTAGGCCATATCAATTCATAGTTCTATTTATACTACTTCATACCACAACTGATAGATAATCTATTAGTCAATCCTTTCATATTGATGCACTACGTAGTTGTCTGTTGGTTATATATGTATACATAAACATGTATATATATATATACATATATATATACACATACATTTATATATATACACATATAGCTATATTTACAGTAATTACACACATATAAGAGACTAGTCGTTAGTTATTTATTATATAGTCATATCCCAATTCACACTCTCTGGGATGAACCATGGTTTGCGGGAAAACGTTGGCCATCCCGAATCCGTAGATGATTTTGATACAAGCGGTTCTTAATCAACTATAACCAAGCATATCCCCAAAGATTGGAGCTTGTAAGACACAAATCACTCGTTATTTTCAGTAGAAAATTCACCACCTATCTCGTACCATGGCTTTAGCCATTAGTAACCAACAGTATCCCCAAGAAAGAAACGGGCTGTAACATGCTGTAGCCGTGGTCAAGGCGTCCCCACTTCTGACATAGGCTGCCGCCATGCCAGCCTCTTCCACCTTCAACAATGGAAAATCATCATGGGGAATCCCAACCATCAACGGAAGTTTATTCATGGGGTATTCAGACGGGATAAAAAACCAACCACAATGGGCCGCCCATTCTGGAATATCATGGACATAGAAAAACCGGAATCGTTGGGAATATCAATCGACTATCAATGGATACATTGTTGGGATATTCATGAGATATTCAGAAGGACTATCAATGGGAATCAACCACAGCAATATACAGCAATATCATTGCCAAAATCATGGGATATAGAGAACCAACTTGATATATCTTGATATGATATATGGATATATCATGAAATGATATATATTATACCAGGTATATATATATATACAGTATATGGTTTATGGTCATCCATCCCATTTCACAGGAATCCGAACATCCATGGCATCTTAATTCGCGCATCATTTTTTTTGGGGCGCCGTTTTGGGATAGTGACCCCTACTATCATTCTGTCGTGACGCCGTGACGTGAGGTCGCAACATAAGCTATCCAGATTTAAACTTGAAAGTAGCAGGATCTAAAAAATAGATGGGGGTTTTATCTTAAGAAACAAACTTAAACTTGCATAAGAGATGTATCTTGTGAAAGATCCAGAATAAACTGAAACCTACAAGTTTCACTACTGAAACTCGGGCTGAACCACAATAAACGATGGAGATGTTACAAGCAACAAAACCAAAGTCATGTGGTAAATTTTGTCCTTGAATCGGGAATCACCCAGTTGACCTGCATTCTTTGAATCTAGAGGGTTTGATCCGTACTTTGCGGGTCAGCAACACCTCATGTTCAGCGCTCTGAGCTGTCTAGCTAAGGTGAACATTTACAAATCAGCTGCAATTGATACCTCCTGATACATTTGTTTGTCTGAAAATGGGGTATACACTAAAATATATATATTTTAATCGGGAAATTGATGATTGACCGACTAATTTGGGGTACCCTACATGCAATTTTTGTCATCGGACTAGCATGGGACCGTTGGTGTATGAAATAATGACCGTTGCATTTGAACAAATTTGATGATTACATCCTATTGAATATCTTCCCATCATACTGACCTACTAGCTATAGATCTATAGGACATTATAGGACCTACATTTGGCGATGCAGAGCTCTATTTTTCGACCAAACACAAGAAGAAACGCAGCACCATCCCAAAGAAATGAATCTTCCCACAAAGTCCCCGAAATTGGTGAAACTCTCAGAGTCACCATGATAAAAATGCACATTTTCATGAGAGGGTCAAGGTACGTGACTAATTTAATACATCAACACATGACATATGGGCCCTGAAAACAGGCCACCCACAAAAATGATCAAAATTGATCAAAATTGATGATTAATAAGTTAGAATATTTATTAAAATAATTATGATTTCCATTGATTTCCCGCATTGACATGGCAATTTTGAGGTAACCCACATTTTCAGACGCTGGCCTCCGGAAATTGTATCGACACAGCAGGCAGGGCCATGGATCGCCGCATCCGCGCTAGCTCATCGAGGTACCTGGCTTTAGGGGGTTTGAAGGCGGTGCTATGGTCATCGACAGGATGGAAAAAGTCACTTCAGGCTTCGAATATCCAAACATTTCGGATTTACCACCAATGTCTGGCAGTTGGAATGGAGATGAATGGAAAAAATGATGAACTGTTTGATGGTTTCAACCCCTATGAAAAATATTAGCCAGTCAGTTGGGATGATTATTCCCAATATATGGACACATAAAAAATGTTCCAAACCACCAACCAGTGAAATTATGCTCAAACGTGATCCCTGAAAAATCTGACGACATGGACGACAAGGGTCTCCCACAGGTCACGTGTTGGCCGAAGCATAGTTGTAGAGCCTTGGGCTTGACGTGATGATAGTGATGATGATAATGATGATGATAATTATGCTGCTGCTGCTGCTGATGATGATGATGATGATCATCATCATCATCGTTTTGTACTGACTATTGTTGCTAATATTGCAGTAATATGGTCCTCATTGTCATCATTATCATAATGATCACCCTTACGATCATTACGATCATTGCGACCATTATGACTGTCTTGATCGCTTGTATCATTATGATCATTGTCATTGTCATGATTACATATAACTATCATTATTCTTTATCATGATATTGATATATGATGATATATGGGGATTTCATGGGATTTCTTAAAATGGGGGATCCCCAAGTCACCATGGGTTTCAACATTAAGATAGTCCAGTTTTGGATGATTTGGGGTACCCTGATGACTTTGGACACCTCCATATTTGTACATTATCATGATGGTGATCCTTGGAAACTAAATCGGGGGACAATTTCTGACATGCTCCCGGTTCAGATTTTGATACCCTCCCGGTTCATCAATGGCTGTGAAATCCACTAGAAATGGAGGTTTATAGCTGGCACAATCAACGATGATGATTTTCCACTGCCGTGTCTGATTACCAGAGAGTACATTTGAATGAGGTCTGGCTCCCAACACTTCACCCGTGACAACAAAAACCGTCATACTGTACTCCTCTACGTGCAATCCAGAAAAATCCAGTTAGGACGTACCAATGGAGGTCCCTCACGTTTGCGAAACGCAACTCCGGGACGCCTATCTATCGTTTTCAAGGATTGCATAGAATTGCAGCCCAACTGGCTCCAGGTTCCCCAAAACCTAGGATGTATATAAATCTTTCGTTTTAATTCATTTTTACCCTCTGGTAAACGTTCACAAAAAACTATGGACAATCACCATGTTTAATGAGTAAATGAACTATTTCTATGGCCATTTTCAATAGCGAACTGTAACAAATTACCAGAGGGTACCTTTCCCTAAAAATCTACAGAGATCCCATACATGGATCCAGTTGAGGAGTGTCAGATTTTACTTCCTGGATGAATTGATGGATCCTCCTCTGGTAAACTTGGCATGGGAAAATCACCCTGCAGCTGATAAAAAACTTCTCAAAGATCTGGAGTTTCCAGGAGTTTCTACAAGATTTTCGGCAAAATCTCGATGTTCCATGATTTTCCTGTAGAATTTCCTGAGATTTTTGGCATTTGGCCAACTTTCGCAGACCTCCAGGGCTGAAAAGATCTGGGATCTCAGACCCCTCAGTGCCAACACCACCAGATAGGGAGGAGAAGAACCACATGGCCTCGCAAGACTGGGCTGGCATAGGCACCAAAAATACGTTGGAAAACGACTTCCCCACCATCCTCTGGGAAAAACATATGGAACAGGTTGGCATTCCCCTTTGTTTTGATTTTTTCATGGTACTTTTCTGTACTTTTCTATCTGCTTGGGTGCAACCGGGTGCATGATGGATTGTTTTTTCATGTTTTTTCAGTAGAATAGTAGAATGGCCCATGCGCAAGTGGCAACAGAAGTTTGGGAAGCCACTTATATGGATGCTGAGATCAGCTAAAGATAAGCTTGGATGGTGATTGCAATTGAGGGACCTATTCTGTAAAATCTCGTGCTGATGCTCTGGGAACCTCAGAATTGTGAACTCAGACATTAGGCCATAAATGCTTGCGCTTGTGAGGTATCCTGTCCTATCTTGGGGGCCAGTTTTTGCCTTCACTGTTTGCCTTGGACCAACAGTGGGCTCATTTTAAGGCTGGACTGATGGAAGGGGCACCCAGATGCCTCTTTGATCTTTATGCTCTCAACTACACAAAGCCAGAGCGAACCAGCACTTCAACAAAGGTCAGAAGCAATTTGTCACTGAACCCCCAACAGTACAGAGGGTATGAAATCATCCCACATTTAATGCCACATTTAGGACATTCACATCCCACATTATTTTGCCACATCTACATCAAAAAAATTCATTCGAAAGCCACCTGTCACTGTCATCCACCCATGACTTCCCACCTCCAGGTCATCTGTTAGGGTCAGCCTGACATCTGATGATCCCAATCCCGTCGGCGCAAGGTGGTGAGCGGCAGGCCCAAGATCTTGGTTTTGGACAATTCTCCGGTAAACGGTAAACGTTCACAGAAAACGAACTGGAAAGATCCACCATTTAAACAATGGGTAAATCCACGAACTAAATCACCATTTTCAATAGCTATGTTAAACTACCAGAGGGTACCATTTGTTGTTGGGCTGATGAGTCTTCTTTTTGAGACCTTGTAAGGCCAGAGGAACATATAAACATCCCATACCCCAGAATTCATAACCTAGCAATTGGATGCAATTGGAGCAGAGACTGGGAAAGCATGAACAGCCCCAAAATGCCCCAAAATCATCTTGCAGCACTTACTTCTTTTGATTTCCCCAAGACATGTGTCAATTAAAATCATGATCCCTGGCACCTGTGTAGATTCCAAGCACCCAAGCATTTCGGCAGGAAAACGGCCTGATGTCCCATCAGTCCCAACGTGGCACATCCAGCTGATGGACACCGCTGATGGTGGCTGTTGATGTCAAGTTGGGGCCGAATGCACCATGTAATCCATGTATTTCAGAAGCTGAACTTGTTTGGGACACCGCCGATCATCATTTCCAATGCCTGTCTGTCTTGTTGGTCGGAGAATTTTCGACGTCGCTCAAGCAGCTTTTTTGGGACACAAGCGGTTGTCATCGTCAGCTAACTGTGCAAGCCAGTAGCTCTTCGAAAGCAGCGGCCCATGTCCCATCCATGAAACATGACTATCAAATTATTTTGAAAAAAGGATGGCATGGCCAAAATTATGGAGACCCCATAATTCCTAAGGTTTTGGACCTTTATAAACATGACACAAATCTGGATCGTACATGAATCTATGTCTACAAAATCAAGTCGCAATGTGGTGAGTTCGTCGAACCGGGCATCGAGCTGAGAGGATACCTCCATTGAAATCAAACCATCAATTCAATGACCTAACATTCACCTGGAATATCATTTCTGATATTGCTAGATATGACATATTTCGCCCAAAATTCAAAGAACTAAAGAAATACCATGGAAATACCTATGAATTTCGATTAAGCCTAGTAATCTACCATGCACCGGTCAGCCGGTCTATCCAGTTGAAATTCAGTGGCATATGATTTGCAACCATTCCAGGAGGTTCACCCTGTCCAAATCAGTACCCGAGTGCGGAACCCTATAGCTGCCGAGCTCTGGTCTGCAACGACTTCGAAGTCATGTCGCGGACTGTACAACAGAGGCAGCAGCACAGATCAAATGAGAAGATGAGGAGATGGTCATGAAAGTGTCTGAACTTTGAGGACCCCTATCATATCATACCCCCAAAATTACCAAACTTTGAAACATAGGGAACATGATGCCCATGATGACCCTTCAGGGATTTTAATAAATGTTAGGGGTCCAACTTCTTGAAACAACTGCAGCCAACAATATCACCTTGCTGTGACGTCTCCTCACTACCTCGATGTCGCAATATCTCGCGGTGGCGGTCAGCAACTCATCACATCAGGCGGTCACGGTCATGTTCCCGCCGTCACCAAGACTGGGTTGCTATCTGCCAACTTTCTATCTGCACGCATGGCCAAATGGACTTTGAATGGTTTGCTTCTCTGCTCGGCTTTGACCATGCAATGGTTGGACAAATGTGTATATGTATATATACATATATATATATAGATACATATATATATATATACATACATACATATTATATATGGCGGCTTGTCGAAATGTCTTTTCCCAAAACCCTGCAAAACTCCTGTTTCGGTGAGGGCCCGCTACACAGTACCCACATCACACCATGAAGCGCCATATCATATCTTGTGGGTACTCGAAAATAGGAGGAGAGCGTCGCTAGCGCGCCTAAAATTCAACTGCTTTCTTATGAGAATGATTGAGAATGTACAATGCTACTAAGTTCTAAAATTCTCACTCCCCTGTGTTCAAATTCACGGCTTTAGGGCTCTGGGTGTGCATCCATGTTGCTTCCTGCACTCTGTACCCTCAATATATGCCTCAATACTCAATGTATATACTATACATATATAATATATACACACATATACATATTACGGGAGGCTACAAACCAGGTGGATATGGGTTCCAACAACTAAAGTTGCGTCCCAATGTTATGGGCTCCAACAACTAAAGTCGCGTCCCGATGACACCTCGTTGTTTTCCTTGGCAATCTCAGTTTGAGTCGCCTTGAGCCAACGCATTGGCCAGGCAAAGCTTTGCAAAACCTGAGTGCGACAGGGTCACAAATTTGTAATGTAACCGCACTCCCCCTTGTCTCTTTGAGACAACCGGCTCTCAGTTCACCTTTTCCATCTCATCCACCTCCACATTCAAAGCACGGAGCCCATGTGGTGGTATTTGAAACCGTCAGGTTTCCATGAAGTTCCAGGTGGTAACGGCCGTGCACCAACCAAATGTTTCTGCCCCCATTGAAGGCCAGAGAGCCACATTGGTCGCAGGCCGTGCGCTCAAAGATGCGCCTTGCGCACTTCAACTTCCCACATGTATTTTTCAGGTGGTACACCGTGCCACATCCAGTAACATATACCGAGGGAAGTGGTGGTGGTCCCAAAGCGGCTGGTGGAGCCTTGTAGTTTGGCCCCTGAGAGCTTGACGCCGCAAAGGCGGCAGGTGAGCCCGCGGTAGGCAAAGGTGGCCTAACCAGTGATGCCGCCTTCGGGATATCACCTCCAATTTCTGGTACTGGACAGAGAGGGCGAAGACCACCTCCACGAAGATGATAGGTGCCCCCAGCGCTCACACTTCCAGACACCTCAGTGTCATCCGTCCCGGGCGTGGTAGGCGTAGTTGGTCCAGGGCTCAGTTGAGCACCACCAGATTGAGTTTCTCCTTGAAACTCCGTTGGTTCACCATCTGGCGTTTGTTCGCCAGCATCAGACGTAGTGGCCCTCGAGGGCGGTCTTCGCCGCACTGCAAGGCCAGGACGGTAGATGCCCAAGTCATTGAAGGCAGCCAAACGTCCCTTTCCATCTTTTCCTTTTCCTTTCCCAGGCAAGGATTCATTCTCTGTGCTTTCACCGTCACGTGGTGCATTTCCAGGAGCAGGAGGCCATGGTGCCCAAACTCCACGTAGTTCATCTGGTGAATCCCCCCTGGTTTCTGTTGTAGGAGGATGGTCCGAAGGTGACCTAGACCTGGAAGTTCTCGACCTCCTGGAAGATCTCGACCGTCTGGAAGATCTCGATCGCCTGGAAGACCTCGACCGCCTCGAAGACCTCGACCGTCTCGAAGTTCTCGTTGACCTTGAAGACGAAGAAGACCTCAAAGGAGCAGCCACCACGGTGATAGGCGTCAGCCATCTTGCGATCAGAGCTCCTAGGATCGCCATCGCCAATCCATAGGCCAGCAGCAGGAAGTTTCCATCAGCGCCGAAGCCATCATCTTCGCTCGGTTGAGCGGTTACTCTACTGGGGAAAATAGTTACTGCTACCAAGGCTACGGCCATTGACCAGTGAGGGGGCGAAAAAGTCGCCTTCAGCATCTTTTGGTTCACTAGGAGAAAGTTTTTTCTCCCCCCCACCGTGCACGGCTACAGTCAGACTACCTTGGACAGCCACCTGCGGAGGTGTGCAACTACGTTGAACCATTGAACAGTGAGAGGACGAAGGTGCTGCCTTCAGCATCTGCTGACTCACCCTAGGAGAATTCACTTTCTCCCTCCCACCGTCTATGGAAACCCCATAGCTACCTCGAACCTCAGTTTGAACGGAAGAACTTCTAACCCTTTCGGAAAACTCAATGACCCTTTCAGGAGAATGAATCACTCTTGGGGTTCCATGTTTCTTCCATTCGTCCAGAGTTTCATCTGAATTCAGACCTGGATGCTCCAGGTTAACCACGCAGAATGCATGAGTGCACAACTGCGTGCTCAAATTCAAAGACCCGGCTGGCCTTTCAAAGGAAGTGCAAGGCGTGAGTCGCCCATGTAGATCTTCTCCCGGATGTAGTCCCAAACTTGAAGACGAAGAAGTCGAAGATTGGGCCCCTTGACGACCATTCTCCTCCTCCAGCGTCCAGGGCCCCTCCAGCGATCCACTGACGACCATACCACCTCCAAATTCGTCAAAATGACGACCAGTTGACTCATGTAGTAGAGCTCCTTCGGGAAGTAGAGCTCCTTCAGAAAGTAGAGACGACCCATGTCGGCTCCCTGGTGAAAAATCAAAAAGTTGAGGCAGACCACCATCACATAGACCTCCTCCAGGACGTAGAGACGAGCTCCATCGATCGTCCCCCGACGCCCCACGCCGAAGAGGACCACAATCGCGTAGGTCTCCTCCAAGATGTAGAGACGACCCCTTTCGATCATCCCTTGAAACCAAAAATCGAAGAGAACCACCATCGTGTAGGTCTCCTCCAGGGTGTAGAGCTCCTTCGGAATGTAGAGCTCCTTCAGGAAAAAGTGGCGACCCCCCAGGGACACCTCGAGGTTGACAAAGAACAGGACATAGTCCGAGATTATCCCACAGCGCGTCATCAGCCGGTAGAGCAAATTCATCACCAGGCCGTAGGTCTTGATCAGGATGTAGACGTAGAGCTCGAACACGGATCATCGCTTCTTCCTCCACGTACTTCTCATCCTTCAAATCTCGGTCAGATAAACCACCTTCTCGTTCTTCAGCAGGCAGTTCCAGAAGTAGATCGTGAGCCAGTTGCACAGCTTCCGAACTCGACAACTTAGACCGAAAGTCCTTCTCGTCAGAGTCATGGGACAAAGCTCGCTCACTGATCCTCAGCGCCTTGAGAGTAGAACCTGGTTTTTCAAGTTCCCGTTTCCATTGTTCGGGGTTCATCGGCAACAGACCCTGTTGTTTTAGACCCTCTACCCGTTTCTTCAGGTATACCCACAACCACAGCAACACAAGAGTTTTGGTTTTTTTCATCATACGACCCAGGTTGTCCTGGCTGCATGGCCTTTGTTGCCATAAAGCCCAAAGTGGCCGCCGCAATCTTGATAATCTCGTGGTTGAGCTTAAGGGCCTTCACCTGAGTCTCCTGCTCCTCGAACTCCTCAGAGAACTGCGCTGCTGCTGTAGTGACCACGTTGAGGAACTTGAAGAAATAGGTCCAACGCTGCTTCGCACTGATGGCCTTGGTGAGGAAATCAGCCACCAACAGAGAACCTGGTAAATGTCGAATTGACCACCACTGTCGATGTCGAAGACGTTCTCGTAGGAAATGACTCCTCAGCCTCAAATGGCGTGACCTCCAAGCTCCCCCCTCCGGAGCACTAGCTACCGAAATGGCCGCAGTGTTGTCGCCATAGATGACTCGTTGGATCCCCATCGCTCCTTCTATGAACTCGCCCTCCGGAACCTTGATCTTCTCCCGGATGTAGAGCTCCTCAGACGCTTCTTCATCGTCAGATTCGACCACAGTGAGTTGACAAGGCACTTCTTCCAAGGCCTCAAGGATGCACC